ATGCTTTATCCACTGCCAGAAAACTTATTAGTCTTTTTTCCAAAAAAATTCAAGTTGACAGGACAGTGCTTCTTTAACTTTCAATTTTCTTAAATTGCGGCTTTCAAAACAATGAAAAGACAGGATAAAACTTTCCCAGTGAACTTGGAGCAATGGTATACATTACCTTTAAATATGAGCCATAGTATTTTGTTACATAAGGACTATCACACTGACTTAAGACCGTTATCTCTTGCTGTATGTCCTCTATTTCATCTTCCGCTTCCTCAAGGTCTATGATTTTTATAGCAACCACTTGCTGCGTTCGATTATCAATTCCTTTAAAGACTTCACCAAATGAGCCTTTTCCAATGCGTTCTAATTTTGTGAACAGTTCTTCCGGGTCTGCTCTATAGTTCTAGAAAAAAAGAAAGGAAAGGAAAGATTGTAAACAAGTTGTTTTACTTATTGTCACAGACTAACCCTCCTCATTCCCCAAAAAGCAGATCATGAAGCAAACATTCCCCCCCACTAGCATTGGTCAAGTTATGTGGTATTGCTATGCATTAATACACTGTTATCAGAAAATTAAGCTTAACTTCTGTTGACCTACTAAATTACAGTATATCTTGTGCATTAAAGGCAAGGGCCTAATCATCTGCTCCTATAAGCAACAGACAGGAAGGAGCCAGGCAGGCAGGAAAATTAACCTCTGAATTTCCTCACAAAGCATCCCCTAAAGTGAAAGGAAGTGTTGGCACTATGTGAATTTCCAACGGTATAGTCATGCAACAGGCTGGGGAAAAAGTCTAGAAGTCCAGGGCAAGTAGAAGTGCTATCATCAATATCTGGGAAAATAAAAAGGGAACTGCCTTCAGGACAGTCTACCACTGCAATGAACTTAAACAAGATCATGCCAATATATGGAACAAAGCACATCTGATGCAGGTAGGATACATGGCCCAAGTGTATATGTTTCTAGCCGGATCAGGCTATTCTCTACTAGCTTCAAAGGGAACCAGGAACCAAAATCATCATCTCCAGTCTCAGACAACAGGTAGCAGCAAAAGGTGAGGGATAGCTCAGTGGTTTGAGCATTGGCCTACTAAACCCATGGTTGTGAGTTCAATCCTTGAGGGGGCCACTTAGGGATCTGTGGCAAAAATCAGTACTTGGTCCTGCTAGTGAAGGCAGGGGGCTGGACTCGATGACCTTTCGAGGTCCCTTCCAGTTCTATGAGATATACCTATCTCCATATATATTTATTTTTGACTAGACTAGTGCTACTTTGAATGATCACATCTAGATTTCACACAAGGTAGACCACAGCATTACACTATATTCTTGTCTTTGAGATAGTTATTTAGTCTTAGTTCTGAGTCTTTAAACTGGGTGCAAGAATGACATTTTATATTGCACTTGAGAACAAAACTAAACATACAACCAAGTCACAGACAAACTAAAAAAACCCAAAAGTAGATTGCCAGTACAATCACCAAAAACAGAATAAGAAGGATATCTTCAGATAGTCCCAACAACATTTCATTAAGTCAGAATAAGATCACAGTCCAAACACTGGGACGGCCATGTTTTCTTGTCAGTCAAAGAAATCTGAAGCATTGGGTGCTTGTGGAAAAGTGACTGGAGACTTTTCTCCTAGCCAGCCATACAAAACTACAGCAGGGCTTCAAGAGATAGTGCTGTGGTGACCAACAACTGCACTGTCTGTTGCTTCTCACATGCTGGAGGCCATTTGGGTGCTCCCATGCGTAGGTGTGACAGTCTTACAGAAAGCATTTAGATGTGGTCGTGAGGCAAAGCCTCTCTCTTTGGTGAACATAGAAATTGCCATAGTGGATCACACCCAAGGCCTGTCTGTTATTATTTATTACCATAAAGCCTATATAGCCCTAGTCATGGACCAGGTCCCCACTGTGCTAGGAGCAAACACAGAACAAAGATAGATTGTAAACTCTTTGGAGCAGGAACTATAACATCTAGTCCAGCATCCTGTCTCTGATAGTGGCCAGCAACAGGTGCTTCAGAGGAAGGTGCAAAACCTGCAGTAGGCAGATGTTGTATAATCTGCCTCCCCACAAGAGGTCTCATCCTGGTCCCTAAGGGTATGTCTACACTGCAGCTGGGAGCAAGACTCCCAGCCTGGATAGACAGACTCATGCTAGCAAGACTCAAGTTGGCATGCTAAGAATAGCTGCAGATTTTGTGGCACCAGTGGAGGCTCAGAAGAGCCACCCAAGCTCAAGCCCACCCCAATCCCTTGGTCCGACGAGCCTGTGGGGCTAGCCAGAGCCTCTGCCAGTGTCACAACATCCACACAGTTATCTTCAGCTTGCTAGCGCAAGCCCCACTAACACAAGTCTGTCTACCTGGGTTGGGAAGCTCACCCCCAATGGCAGTGTGGACAGAAGCAATCTCTAACTACTAGGGTAAGCCTGAAAGCATGAGGTTTAAAGACAAAATTTTCAAAGGGATACTAATAATGACAACTCTGGATATTCTTGCTATCCCTATAAATGTTCAAACCTTTTTTGAACCTTGCTACATTCTTGGTACACTTCCTATGGCATTGATTTCCACAGTCCAATTTTTCACACAATGCATATTTCTTTCTGATCAGTTATCAGATTACTATAATATGGAGACTAAGGAATCCATGAAAAGGAGAAAGGAGGCCCCATTTACTCCCATTCAAAACCTCTCTGGATGTTAATAAGGCCATCCTCTGTTGCAGAAGAAACACTAAACCAGAGACCAAGGACTAAGGTGTCAACGGGTAAAATGCTCTGGACAAGCTTCCCATTGAGCCGCTGCCTTAGTTTTCTTCCACACTCATCACTTTTTACCCCTTTTACTTGGTACATCAAATCACCATCCTCCTCCGATTCACATTCCTCCTGAAAAACTCACTTCTTCAAAGCCTGTCAGCACGAATCCATGACTAAAAATACAGGTGAATCTAAAATTTACAAAGAGATAAAACCTGGAGCATGTAAAAATGCATTTCCATTTAGATATAAATGCTGATAGCATCAAAAAGGAGTTTAGTTCTATATTAGATTTAAAAAGCAATTTGCAAGCAGCAGTTTTATAGGGTGACCAGACAGCAAGTGTGAAAAATAGGGATGGGGGTGGGGGGTTAATAGGAGCCTATATAAGAAAAAGGCCCAAAATTCGTGATTGTCCCTATAAAATCAGGACATCTGGTCACCCTAAGATTTTATCTCCCACTTTGACCAGCTGCAGCCTTATTTCGTATACCTGTATCTTTTCCACCCTCTTATTATTCCGTGGTTTTCTGTCCTTTGTGTCCAAGCTTAGGCTGCAAGTTCCACAGGGCCAGGACATCATCACTATATCTGCCTGTAAAACCCCATGCACTCATCTATTGCTACATGGAATGGGAAGTCCTGTAGTTTGCCTCTTAAATTGGGTTGGTGGCGATGGTTTGTCTACATGCATATTTCTGTTAGAAATATGGGCTCTCATGCAGGTTTCACAAAGATTTCAGCTCCTTTAATGTGACTAAGAAACGCCGCATTTCTAAAACTCTGTACGGGACCTGTTACTAGGTGGCCACAAAGTATAAGCCAGTATTATCAGTGTAGCCAACTTAGGAAAAGGCTTTAAGTGGCATGTCAGGAACCCTATTGCAAGGACTGCCTTCAGGGCTTCCCATGAGCCACAGTGAAAGTTGTTTGAATATTATTTTTGTTATAATCTTAACCTAAGATAGATATCGTGAGGGAGGAGGAAGTCCAGGCTTTTGAGTAAAGGAATATTTGGTGGATGAAAATGGGATCAGCGCTTGTTCTGAGATTTCAGGGAAGTCCTGTGCCTCATCATTGCTGCTGAAGAGGCATATAAACCGGTTTCCCTATTCTGATGAGAATTGTTCTTTGTCTCCCCCTGCTGGACACAATTATTTGGTCTTGTCATGATGGTAAAACACTGAGTGAACCATAATAACTAGGTCTATATTTCTTTTTAAAAGTACTTGATTAAAATTTCTCTTTTTGGTACTTTCAAGTAAATATGGTGATAGTCAGGAACAACTGATGGTATTCTAGTTGACTGACAGATTTAACCCAGTGATTACCAGGTTTTTTTTTTGGTAGAGACCCGCTTTGAGTGCACTAGTGTAGTGTACCCAGTCTGCCAAATTTCCTACAAACTGAGACTGGTGACATGAGAAATGAACTACATTTTATTTTTAAGTAAGAAACTGGAACAAGAACACATTAGCTTCCCAGGTGTTGTAATTTTGTTTTTTTGTTATAGTTTCCCACCCAATCCATCAACAAAATTTCTCCTTCCCTTAATTCTCTCCACCTGTTTTCCAGATTGCAGCAGCAGCACCACCACCACAAAGGGAGAAGGAGAGCCTCAGAAAGAAGTGTGCCAACAGCAGGAGCTGGGAGCCTCCTTCACCTGCTTGGCAGGAGGCAGAAACAGTAGTGGGAGGAACCCCCAAGCCACCTTCCACCCAGCCAGGAGGCAGATAGCTCCTGGTGAAGGTATTTCACTGTATGGCAAGCACTTCTAAGTGTCACAGTCCCTACCATCAGGGGTTTAGCTGTGTACACATGCAGCTTTGAGTCTAATGGATCGGATACCTTACATGAAACAAGCTGGGTTGTCCGCCTAGTACCCAGCAAGCAGGTGTGAATGAGTAAAAGCTACTTCAGATTCCAAGGATTAGGTGGCCATGAAGAATGAATTGCCTACTCATGCCTGGAAGTCGACAAGCAAGGAGGCACAGTGGCAAGACAGAATAGGAAAACTTGTATTATATTTAGTCTGTGGATAAAAAAAATCAATCAATTTTAACCTTGGACTTCTGCATCCAAGCAGGCAGTCTTATTTCACTTGACTATCACAATGCAAATGTTCTCTATTTTATAATTAAGGTTCCATTCATATTTCTATTTCCAGGGGTTATGTCTAGGATACAAAAGATGTACGTTTTGCACAGGAATATCTTAAGTCTAGATTTCTGTGAAAGTCTCATCTGGTCACAAAATAGTGACACTCACTTGTTTTGTACTCTTGTAACTCAAAAAGATAGTCTCTGGCAGGGAATCAGTCTATAATGTAAATACTTTAGATATTTTGGAAGAAGACAGCTGACACAGTAAGTTTTAGAATCTGAAGGAGAAAGGAAATAGCCTAGGCCTCAGAGCAGTTAGCAGAAGTTTTATTTTGCCCATGAGAGACTGACAGATAGCAAATCCTTTACAGCAGGAAAAGCCATTTTCCTAACTCCACCAGCTGGAAGGAGACATCAGCCAGTCTGGGCTGCCATATGAGAACACAGAATTCAAACAGAACTCTGGTGCACAATATAATTATATACACATTTAAAAAAAATCATCTGATGCCCATTGGCCCAAGAACTAGAGTTGGGTCCATACTAGAGAAGTTGCTGAAAGATTTCCACCAGTGCAACTTTAGGTTCATCTAAACAGACAGCAGACAAACTCCTTCTATAATGAGGCAATCTTCACAAGTCACTTCACCTCTGTGCCTCCATTTCCCATCTGTAAAACAATGCTGACGCTCTTTTGTGATTGAGGGATGAAAAACTCTGTATAAATATTACCAACTCCTTAGTTCACATCTGAGTCTTGTCTGGGCTGAGTCCGTCAGATAACCTACACCATCCATAACGGAGTTGCAATCACACCCTAAGAGCCCCAGTCTTGCATTATGATCCACACAGGTGAAGCAATGAGGTGAATGGAGTTCACCAGTGCTCCCCCTAAGGCATTCAAATGGCAGAACCTGACAAAATGGAGACAGAGCTGGGTGTCACCTGGACATTGAAGGCAATGCAGTAGAATGTGTCTACTATCTCAGTGACCTGACAAACACAGAGCATGAGAGAATCAACACAGAAGCTTGATCACCCAATACTAAGAAGCTCTGTATCACAGACAAGTTTAACACCAGACTGAATGGGTCACAAACCCGAGACTTGATGTACAACTAAAGCTGCCTCACTACAAATCCTTGATAACCTTCCCTCCAAAAAGGGGATTCAAGAGAGTAAAGAGATTGAAGAGACGTTAACATCAAGAGATGGTTTCTTCAGTAGAGGATGATCATCATCCTCTTAAGCAATACTTACTCATTGCCCTCAGAGAGGGATCACAAAAATTCCCTTCAATATCAGGTTCAGCACCAGCCAAAAAAAGAAAAAGGGTCCAGCTTTCTGAAGCTCCCCAGGCACCTTCCAAGATCACTGTGAGCATCACCTGCTGTTTTCCCCCTCCCTCAATAGTGTTATCCTACCACAAAGCATTCACTCTGGATCGAAGTATTCTTACGCATGAAGCAACTTAAATACTTCCACTAATGTTGAATACTTGGTTGTTACCAAGCGGAGACAACCTGGATTAACAAGGCTAGCCATCTGGAACAGTTTAGCTGATCCACATTTTTGCATTGGCTACAGCTGAAGTGAAGAAGTCCTTCTTCCCCTTCAGTACAGCCATGGCATAGAACTTCAAAATTTCCCTATCAGAACCAGTCAGACTCAGCCTGACATTTTTCTACTGGCACTCCAGCTGCCTTCCAATGTATTTTAGGGTCAGATCACTTGCATATTATGGTGACCTATGAGGATGAAACATGGGAAGAGACTGCTTAGGAGAGAAGATTATAATATTGTTCTACCAGACCATTAATAGTGTGCGGCTTATCTACAAAACACTGTTCTTCCTCAGAGCCATCTGAAACCCAGACTTGTACCACAAGTAGTCAAGACTTCTACTTTCTGTCTCACAAAAGAGACCTGCCTAGCATCATGCTAGAAAATCTGTTTGGCCTCAGAGATTGTGATCTACTGAATCACCAACACCATTTCCTGAAGTACCTTGGTTTTGCTTCCTCTTGTGGGTGGAGGAGGGGGAACTCCCATCAGTCTAGAACTGGCCAGCCAAGACCCTGCTTTTGCTCAGGAGATCAGACAAGGCAACAGCTGGAGATAGCACAGCTCCAGGCCTCAGTGCTTGGAAGGACAGTATTCTGCTTCATTCAGTTATTGCAATTCCAGTATACTGCACTTCAGAGAACAGTTGCTTAGTAAGTTTCCCTTCACTGACAGTACATAGAAGTGTGGCGTGGAAGACAACCCACACAACAAATCTCTAAAGGGAAGCAGTCCAAATGAATTAAAATAGGCTATCTTCACCAAGTGCACAAGAGTTCAAAGAAGGGAGGTGTCTCCACCTACTAACAAGACTACTTGAAATGGACCTGTGAACCAGACCGTGGCTAGATGAAGCTAGCAACCTTTCCCTATCAACTTGTTAAAAGCAAGGAAAAACAAACAAGCTCACAATAGACTAGAAAAAGCAGCTTCTAGTTTTGGGGTACATTTCTGGAAAAAGTCAAATGCCTCATGATGTAAAGTAAATGTGCCTCCATGCTGCAATCTTTTCTATTTACTTCTCCAAACCTTCTTTCCATGCCTAACAACTCCTGCTATTACACAATGTTCCAGATGTATGGCCATGCACACTATCACCTTCTTGACAAGA